AGACACACACAGAGACAGACAGACAGGCACACACAGATACACACACACACACAGATTGACACAGACACACACACAGAGACACACAGACACACACATACAGACAGATAGACACAGACACAAACACACACAGACATACACACAGATACACACATAGACACACAGAGACACACAGACAGATAGACACAGATACAGACAGTACAGACAGACACAGACACACACACACAGAGACAGATAGACTAGACACACACACAGATACTCATACACAGACACAGACAGACACACACACAGGCACACAGACACAGAAAGACACACATATACACATAGACACACACAGACACACACACATAGACACATACATACACAGAAATACATGTAGAAAAGATGGAAAGTCTATTGCATATGATGTCAGAAAAATTAGACATCTGTTTTCAGGGGATGCAGTGTGTGCAGTGATTTTTTTTTTTTTTTTTTTTTGAGATAGGCTCTCATTGTGTGGCCTCAAAGGCAAGAGATCTCCCTGCCTCTGCTTTTCAAGTGCTGGGATGAAAGGCATGTGCCACCATGCCAGCCATGCGATAAATTTAACTCCAGTCTGTAATTCCAACTTCTGGCCCTCAGAACAAATAAGTTATAGAGGCCAAATACTGATACTTACTGAGTGGCTCCAAGTAACCCCTGACTAGCTGAACTACAAGCCTCCTGGGAAGAACATGGCTTCCAACAGCATGGACAGGGTAGCTGGTTTCTGCCCAGGTGGGCTTCCCTCTGAGTCTGACCAAGAGGGACTCTCATACCTCTGTCACATGACCACTGGAGAAATGTGTTTTAAAAAGCACATCATGTAGGCTGGGAGGTGGGTCAGTCAGTAAAGTGCTTGCAAATACAAGGACCTGAGCTTGACCCCCAGAATCCACATACAATGTGGGTGCATATCTATAATCCCAGTGCTAGGTAGGTGGAGACAAGTGGGTGCTTGGGGTCCTCTGGCCAGCCAGCTTAGCTTAGGTGGTGAGTTCCAGACTGGCAAGAGACCCAGTTTTAAAAACCAAGGGCGGTGCCTGTTCTAATCAGGGTCACTATTGTTGTGATGAAACAGCATGACCAAAACAAGCTGGGGAGGAAAGGGTTTACTGGCTTACACTTCCACATTGTAGCCCATCACTGAAGGACATCAGACAGGAAAATCAAACAGGGCGGGAACCTGGAGGCCGGAGTTGAAGCAGAGACCACGGAGGAGAGCTGCTTACCGGCTTGCTTATCATGACTTGTCCAGCCTGCTTTCTTATAGAACCCAGGACCACCAGCCTAGGGATGGCTCCACCCACAATGGGCTGGGCCCTCCCCCATCAATCACTAATTAAGAAAATGCCCTACAAGCTTGTGTCATGTTGACATAAAACTAGCCAGCACAGTGCCTGAAGAACAACAGCTGAAGTTGCCCTCTGACCTGACCTTCACCTGCATGCTTACAAAATGTATGTGCACCTGCACATACATGTATGTACACATACCTTCATACACATGCAACTATGAAAAAAAAAAAAGACACCTATTGCAGAGCCGGACCCCATAGGAGCTCAGCCCACTCTGTCCTCAGCATTATCAAGACCACTTCTCTGAGTCCTTATATCTGAGATTATGTTTTGAGCCCCCACCCACCAACCCAGGAGGCATTTTCTCAAGTGAAGAGAGGAGACCCAAGTGCTTCGAGGTGAGCTGTGTCTGTGGGTGGTGGTTTTAGACATTGACAGATCCTGATGAAACTCTTGTGTTTGACTCAGCAAGGCCGACACAGGTGTTCAGTTCAGTTTCCAGCTGGGGTCCTGGCTTCTCTGAGCCAGGCTGTGGTGCTTCTGCAGCGCTGGGCTGTGTCATCTGTGCAAGGGGTGTTCAGTATTCCTGGGGTGGCTCATGACATCCTTGGACCTACCCAGAGTCCTGGCCTCTCAGTCCTCCATCCTGAGAGCCTGGTGCACAGAGGCCAGCAGGGCATGGGGCCTATTTGAGGATTTCAGCTGGGCCCAGGCTCCTGGCAGTGTCCTGCTGACTCTGGAGTATACAGGATACCCCTTGACTTTGAGCTCACCTGATTGTTGGACTTCTTTCCTCTTTTGTCCTTTCTTCTCTAGGGTCCTTCCCCTTTGCTTTTTGCTTGGCTAATTTCTACTGAACAGTCAAGACCCAGCTCAGAAAGGGACCAATGAACAGTGTTTATCTATTCTGCGGTCTTGGGTTGGGCAGTGTGCCAGGAGCAGGAGCTGCATCGAGCCAGATGGGTCATGTTCTTCCTGTTGGGACCAGACAGTCAACAAGCTGTTTTTATAGCTAGCCTTCTGTCTTCCTACACTTACCTGTGCACTCTCTGCTGTTTGAATGTAGAGGTCCCTGCTTGGATGAGCCTGGAAGCAGGCTGGGCTTCTTCCCCAGCCCCTCAGTACTAAGGGTGAGGCAGCACTCACAGGGTGGAGGGGGTTGCTTTACAATGGACTGGCTCAACTGCTACTTTACGCCCTTGGCAAGGCTTGAGGGTTCTCTAGTGGCACACATACCTACATGTGCTGTATCCACAGTATCCAGTGTGCTCCTGGCTCCTGGTGGGAACTTAGCTGTGGTTCTAAAGTGGGTGCTATAGTCATATCTCTAGGCCACTTGAGAGAGGGGAGTACAGACTGGCCGATGTGGGGAGCACATCAAGGAGGTGGAGCGGGTTGCTGTGGCTGTTGTGCCTTGAACCTATGATGCAGCTTTATGGAGAGGTCAGGTTTGTCCTCAGGGATGTCTGCCTGCCAACTATCTGTGCACCGATGGGAAGAGGCAGACCTGAGCCCTGTGGAGTTGGTCTTCACCTGAAGCCCCCATTGACAGATCTGAACAGCTTGGTTCCCCTGGGTCATTACTGATAGGGAATTTTTGTTTCCTGAACAGACACTGTAGGTATCCTTGTTGTTTTTTGAGGTTTTGGGTGATGGGGCCTTGAGTCCAGGACCTTGTGCATGCAGGCAAATGCTCTACCACTGAGCTATACTCCCACTCCCTCCACCCCCCATGATGATTGTGTGTGTGTATGTATGTGTGCATTTGTAGGTGGAGGACAGGGCAACCTTGGATATTGATCTTTAGGTACTCTTTTTAAGATAGAGTTTTTCATTGGCTTGGAACTTGCCATGGGGGCTCAGTTGGCCAGCTAGTATGTCCCAGGGATCCTCCTGTCTCTGTTTCCCCAAAGCTGGTATTATAAGATTGTATGACTGTGCCTGGCTTTTTTACATGAGTTCTGGGGATTGAACTCCAGCCCTTCTGCTTGTAAAGCAAGCACAGTACAGGCTGAGTCATCTCGGACCATGATGGCTTTATTTTTTTAATTGTTTACTTATTGTATGTGTGCTTGTGTGTGGGCACATGCATGCTATGGTATGTGTGTAGAGGTCAGAGGATAACTCTGGGGAGTCAGTTCTCCTTCTACCATGTCTTTTCTGGGGATTGGGCTTGGGAGCAAGTGCCTTTAATTGATGAGCCATTT